CACATGGGTTGCCTGTCTGCTGACCATGGGCTGAAATAAATTAGATCTGGAGGGAAAACCAGATTGAAAGCAATTTGAAACGATTAATTCATTATTTCTGGGCAGTGCATGGGCAGTCCCATGTAAAACCAAAAACTTTCCAAATTTAGCTGTTATAACTCACAGACTGCAATAAACAACACCCTTGTGGGAACACGTCAAAACATAAACCACTTTAGCTTGCAAAGGCTTTACGTGTCAAGAGTGTCCTAATTTTTAATTTATAAAAGTGCAGATGTCAATAGAAACTGTCACTTGTATAAATGATCCATGTTACACCTACTTTACTGTCAGAGTTAGGTGTATCTTCCTGCTAGTTTAGCTCAGTAAAACTAAATTTAAAGGCAGACACCTTTCAAACACTTGTCAGTGAACTCCTGTAGTGGTTATGGTGTTATTCCAGTGCTTTGCCCAGATCTAGTGGGGCCTTGAGGCGCCCTCTAAATTGCCCATCCATCAGCTGATGCACTCAACTTATCAATGCGGTTCAAAATTGATATTGCTAATACGGAAGAGGAACATTTTAAGATTAGGAATATTAGAAGAGGGTGACTGGCTACAGGTGCTCAGGATCCCCAGTTTTGATCAAACACTCAAAACAGTTAGACTGTGAGCCGAGAGATGGCACACAAAGCCTTAAGCAATGGTTAGACTCCGAGTTAGACACAAAGCCTTAAGCAGTTAGACTCCGAGCCGAGAGATGGCACACAATAGCACCTTAAGCAATGGTATCTAGTGGTGACATCACTATGATCGCCCTCTCAAAGAGTAAGATTAAGCAGCATAACAACTTTGCATCTTACCTGGAGAATGGCTTCTGTCTGTTTACTCATCCTGTGTGATGAATGGAACTGATCCTGGGTGATAGGCTACTTACTTCTCAGGGATTTGTAAGACAAGAGCATTTGTAAGACATAGACCTGGATGAGAGGCTTCTGAATGGTGAAGCAGTGGTCTACCAACGACTGACTATTGATGTGTAAATGTCAGTAACATTAAGTAAAATTTTTATATTCTTTTACAATATGTTTAATTGTGTTTAAATATCTATATAAGTGGTTTTCAATCCAGTTCTCAAGGCACACCAGTGGTCTATGTTTTGTCACTATCCCCAGAGAAACAGAACTGAGATTTGGATAAATGCCCAGAGGACTGGATTGTGAACCACTGATCTAACCAATGCACTAAACAATATGGGATAATTTTTTAAGTATAAAATGTACATTTGTGAGATACAATTGAAGATAGAACACCTCTGCCAAAGATTCCCATGTCCCACATGTGTCTCTGCCATCTCCTTCATGTCTCTCTTCTTTTAAATGTCCCTTCTGTCGTCCCCATGTCTCACATGAGTCTACACAAGCCTCCCCATTTCCACCTTAAGTCTCTTCTATCCATCATTTTCATGTTCAGCATGTTTGTCTGCCATCCTCCCCATGTCCCTTTTCTGTCTGTCATTCCCCTGCACATCCTCTATATTTGTCTTTTCTTTACCCTACCTATTGGTGATTGCTATGTGACTGCCGCAGTGACATGCCTATCCCTCCAGAACACCTCTGCCAAAGACCATAGAGAAAGATGCAATATCCATTTTGTAATGTTTGATAAATGTCATTGGAGAAGACCTCATGGCTTCCCTACAAATTTCCTCGGAAGAAACCTCTGCCCAATTAGCCCATGAGGTTGTCAAAGCCCTAGTGGATTGAGTCCTTAATTTTTCAGGAGGAGAAACTCCTTTTAGATAGTATACTTTTAATATAGAGTTAGAAATCCAATGTCTTAGAGTGGATGTTGAGGCTGTCTCACCCTTTTCTGGTTCCTGTCGGAAGTACGACTAAATGCTGTTGAGACACTTCAACATTCCTTAACAAGCATTCTCTGACATCCAACTGATGAAGTTTCTCTTCTTCCGAAGATGAAGGATTAGGAAAAAAAAGAAGGTAGAATAAAACCCTGTTGAATGTGTAAATTTGAAACTACTTCAGGTAAAAATTCTTGTCTTGGTCTTAATTCCACTCTGTCATGGTATATCAGGAAATGATCATCACCACATGACATGCGCATTAGGTCTCCCCGGCCGGTGGGCAGGATCAGTCTCGCCCACCGGCCGACGCAATCACAGGGAGGAGCGGCGGCGGAGGAAGAAGCAACAACGTGGGACATTGTCGCTGCCTCTGGTAAGTTACTGAAGGGGTTTTCACCCCTTCAGCAACCTGGGATTGGGGGGTGGAAGGGAGAGGGGACCTGCAGTGCCAGGAAAACGGATTGTTTTTCTGGCACTGGAGTTTCCCTTTAATTAAGCAATCTGTAGCCCAAGAGACATTACATAAAGCTACAAGGCAGATGTTTGAACTCTTAAGGTGCTTAGACTTAAACCCTTATTTAAACCAACATAAAGGAAATTTAAGACCTGAATTTTACTAGGATGAAGAAAACTGATTTTTTTTAGACCATGATTCCCAAATTCTGTGATAACAGGCTGAAGTAGATTTTTTTTCTCAATTTCAGAAGAGTATTAACAACTGGTTTTGATAAACCTTGTTCTAATAGTCCCTCCTTTTCAAGAGCAATGCCCCCAATTTCAGTTGGCTGGGATTGGGATGAACAGCCGACCCTTGAATTAGCAGATCTGGTCTCTAGGGAAGTGGCCAATGATGTTTCAGGCACATTCTGTATAGTAGTGGAAGCCACGGTCTCCTTGGACAAATGGAGATTATGGCAATGACCTTCTTCCCCTCTTTCCAAATCTTCCTCAATAATCTGTGAATCATAGGTAGGGAAGGGAATGCATACCCGAGATTGAATTCCCAAGGAAGGGATAATGCATTTTGTTCTGCTGATAGTCTGTCTGGTAGGCAAGCAAAATATATTCAAACTTGAGCATTCTATTCTATCTGGGGTATGCCCCACCTCTGAGTTATCTTCTGAAACACTTCTGGATGGAGTTGCCACTCTCCTTGTTGAATTACCATCCTGCTGAGGTAGTCTGCCAGTTTGTTTTCTGGACCTGGACAGCTTTTAGACCCTGTAAATTTGATTGGGCGCCTATATTATTGGACTTAATTCTATTAGAAGGAATCTGCTTCGGGTCCCGCCCTGGTGGTTTACATTAGAAGCTACTGCTCTGTTGTCTGTTGTCTGTTTGTACTTTCACCCAGGAATTCTTGACAAATTGATAGTGGAGTGAAGTTTCTTCTCCTCGAATAACCATATTCCTTGAATCTATTTCCCCTTGAAATGTGCCCCCCAACCTTGCAGACTGGCATCTGTCGTTATAGTTAACTTTAGATAAGTTCCTCTCTTTTGTCCACCAGGTCAGATTGTTCATTATTCATGGCAGATGGAAAATGTTCTTATTCCAGTCACAATTCCTTTTCTTGAATTATCGTAAAAACCCCATTTGGATCAGACGTACATTCCACTGGGCCCACTTTACCAGACCTATGGTGGATGTGAGTGAGTCAAAAAGGCTCATAAATGCCCTGCTGAGGAACATTGTTTGAGATGGAATTTCTTGATCTTCATTAAAATTATTTTTCTTGTTCCTCTGACAGAGTCTATGATGGCTCCCAAGAATATAATTTTCCGAAATGGCACTACAGAGCTCTTCACCAAATTTATATTTCATCCATGTTGAAGGAGACAGTCGATAGCTATTTGGGTGTGCCGACGAACTATGTGATGTGATGGTCTTATAATCAGGAAGTCGTCCAAGTAATGACATATCTCTATATTCTTTTTTCGAAGAAAAGCCACCAATGCAATAAGAATTTTTGAAAATGCTCTTGGGGCCAGGCTCAATTCAAATGGGTGTTTTTCTGATATCCAGAATCTCAGATATTTTCGATGACTCTCGTGGATTGGAATCTGGTACTATGCATCTTTGAGATTGATAGCTGTCATCCAGTCTCCAATATTTATGTTTGGGATAATAGTCACCATGGACTCCATTTTGAACGTTCTTGACTTCACTTTTAAATTTAGTTTTTTTAGATTCAGGATTAGCCTCCATTTTCCCTGTAGTGGTGGAGCTAGGAATACTGTTGAATAATAGCTTTTGAAGTGTTCTTTTTAAGGAACTTCCTCTATGACCAATTTTTTTTTTTTAGAAGTTGGGAAATACAAAGATTCATGACTGTTTCTCAAAATATATACCATTTTGTGGAGTGCTATTTAAATATAAAATAATGGAGGGGTCCACTTACCCCATTAATTGAGTGTAACAATACACTTAGGAATATACATATGGAGGTACATATAAAAAAAGAATAGAAAAAAAGATAAATAGTGCAGATGGTCTTGGACAGTGATTGATGGTAAAGTGAATAACTAGAACCACTCATATGGTCTGGAGCCTAT